ATCCTTTGCGTCTCTTAACCAATATATCTATATCTATATATATGCGTTGAGAGATTTTAGATTTACAGAGATATCTTCCCAGTTGAAAGCAAAACAAAATCTTTTAGAAACTATGGAGAAAATGCACCTTCTCTCCGATTTGCGAAGACATTCCACAAAGTGGAGGGTTTGTGTTAAGATAATGAGTATCTGGCATCATAATCCTCCTTTCAATGGTGATCTAACTACAATGATTCTCGCAGATGAGAAGGTTTGTTTCTAATTTTATTGTTCTGTTTTACACCTTTTTAAAATCATAATCATGTTCTAGGGTTGAAAAACTACTTATCTAATTTGTTTGTTTCCTTTGTATAGGGGAATTTAATGGACGCAACAATTCCACAAGGTTACTACCTCTGGAACTTTCAGCGAGGACTCAAACAAGACGTTTGGTACTACATGACTGACTTTCAAGTCATCATACCTAAAAACCAAGTCAGATATTCAACTATGCCACTTCAGGTTAAGTTTTTGAGTGGAACTACCATGTGGCCTGTTAGATCTAAGTCTTGGAACAATTACTGGAACTTTGTTTGGCCTGATACTGTCAGAAATGCTCATGAAGATGATAAAAACTCTGTCTTTGGTAATAATTTGTGAAATTAAATGTTTTATACCAAGATTTATTATATATGAAGACTTATATGACCATTTTCCTTTAATTTTTACTTAGATGCTATGGGAGTTATCTCTGCTGTTTCCACCATAGGAAGGTTTCCATATGTGTGTCGCAGAGGAGAAACAGACTATGAATCTCGCTATGTCTGCTTCAAAATTAAAAATAATGTGTAAGTTTAGTTTACCCTCTATGACAGAATTTCAATGGTTGTTCTTAAATTACTTTAAGAAATTGGATTGACTGTTCTTTTTGTTTGGAAATTAAACTTTTAATCTAGGGGGGAGACAATAAAATGCGTAGCTGTGGGAAAGTGGTGTGAGTTCTTTGTGAACACTTGGTCTCAGAAAATAAGCGGAATAAACTACAACTATGATAAGATTGTTGCAGTATTGCGTTTCTGGAGAATAACTTCTTACTGTGGTTGGTTCTTATTATAGTTTTATGAACTGACTTTACAATTTTATTAGTTACATTGACTGAATCTTTTTTTTTTCCTATAGGAAACAATGTTTTAATGAGTGAATATGGCTGTTCACGTCTATACATTGATCCAATCTTTTATGAACTTGACATTCCAAGTTATCTGTAAGTTGAAAATTCTCTTATAATTGGCTTATATTTTGGTTGAGATTCATAGCCTAGGTAAACATAAAGCATATGTTTTTTTGCAGGCGATCATTCGACGATGGATCAAGTGACGAAGAGGATGTGATGATGGAGATGGTTGATGAGAACTAACATGTGAAGGAAGGAGTGATTGGATTTGCAAGGTTACTTCAGTTTCTCTTAGTTTATGTTGTTTTTTTTTTTAAATTTTCAGAGGGGATGAACTCTGTTCTACAGAGATTAACTCTGTCTTTTTAAAAATTTCCTTTTGGTATGAAAAACTCCTTTTGTAATCGACTTGAACTAATGTCTACTCTATTTGTTTCTTTTGCATTTAATCTCTATTTTACTCTATTTCCATATTAAGTTTTAGTAGCAGCCAACCTAAATTTAAGAGTTGTTTTCTAACAACTATATTGTAATCATAAATGTTAAGCTAAGCTATATATCTAACTATTATATATTGTATATAATTAGTTAGCATTGCCATTGATATAAATTTTCGTATCATAATGTTTCGAGAATATACCTTATGTAATTGGTTTAAGATCCTAAATCATCAGTCAATCTTGATTGCATGATTTCTTTCCTTAATCTGCGCATATAGTAACAATAGTTAGCTTTTAAATATATGATTCTCATCATATTATTACTTATGAAATATAATCTTTCTAATCTATGTCATTACACATATCTTGATCCTATGCAATAGTAATAATCGTATGAACAACTTATCTTTCTAAATCATCTTCTTTTGGCAACATCATCATCTATGTTATTATCTGAAATCAATTTAAGAACGACATGATGTTAATATATTTCAGGAAACAAAATCGATTGTTCAAATCTATATACAAACCAATTTTGAAATCTTTACAATCATGGCTCTGAAGATTTATGTAGATAGATTTAATTACTTTGTTAAATTCCAAAAATACAGTAAAATTACTTTGTAAAATTTATTGGGTTTTAAACTTACTCAGAAGCTTGGGTTCTTCACAGTCATCTCCCAATGAATCTATTCAAACAGAGAATTGCACAAACTGGAAATCAAATCGACGAATTGGAAAAAATAAAAAGTTCTCTAAAATTGAATCAATCAAAAGCTTACCTGTTTCTATAATTCGGAATCAGTGGTAGAAACTTGATAAAAGCAACGATAAAGCTCGATCTAAGCAGTATTACGTTTTCTATTTTCAGATCGAAGATTAGCATGAAATTTTTCTGGGTTTGTTGTTTCATCTCTTTTCATCTCACCGACTATGATTGTTGGGTTGAGAATTATTTGTCCAAAAA